GTTCTTATATCAGTTCCCACAGTGCTAACTACTGAACCAGTGTGTAAATGAGACACAAGATTTTTACGTGGAAAAATCTCAACTCAAGGGGACATAAACCACGACCTACACTGGTAGGATTTCAACTTCACTAACTTGTAACTACACTATTACAAGCCACTTTGTAATGACTCTATTACAAAGACTTCAATCACTCTAACTTGTAATACACTTATCACAAGCCACTTTGTCACTCACTAGTTACAAAGACTTCAATCACTCTAACTTGTAATACACTTATCACAAGCCACTTTGTCACTCACTAGTTACAAAGACTTCAATCACTCTAACTTGTAATACACTTATCACAAGCCACTTTGTCACTCACTAGTTACAAAGACTTCAATCACTCTAACTTGTAATACACTTATCACAAGCCACTTTGTCACTCACTAGTTACAAAGACTTCAATCACTCTAACTTGTAATACACTTATCACAAGCCACTTTGTCACTCACTAGTTACAAAGACTTCAACCCTATGGCTAACTCTAGTCACAATACAAACTCAGATGGTTTATGATTTAGAGTTTCCTAAAACAAAGCTTCTAATAAAGCAAGATATGAGTTATAATGAAGAACAAATAACAAAGACTCAACAAACCTACGGACTTATGATATCTTCAATCTTTAGATCTGGTCTTGAGGTTGCACCAGCTTTGTTCTTGAGAGAGGTTGTTGCTAGCACTTGCAAGAATATCACTAAAAATTCAAGTGAATAACTTGTGACTTACGCCATGTTGTTATACTACCAAAGACATCCCAAGGATGATGTCAATTCTTGGTTGGTACATGCCTCTTCCCAATGGGAATTGACTGATGCACTATCTGTTGCACTGTCGCGTGTACAATTGCAGGCAGTCACTTTCTGCAGTTGCTTTCTAGCTGTATAGTTGACTTATACTTCTGTCAGGGGAGCACCAAAGGATCAGGTCCCTAATCTGGTTCTTATGAATTTGAAGGCACACTGCCCAGATTATCTTGAGTTGATGAACTTGAATGATTGTATCAGGCATACTTCAGGTCCTTTAGCTGGTTCTATACAAAAAATTTGTTAAATCATCAAAACATAGATTAAAAGACTTTAAGCCCATCAAACAAACTAAGGGGGCTCAAATTGGAATCACATACCAACTTGAGATCCAAACTACCCTCGGGATAATGTCGATTACAAACTACCAACTCGTTGATGCTGCACCTCCTTTCATAATAGACGTGGACACATAGTTGCATCATCTTACTATATTGGCCCAGACGTTGTTATCTCTATTCATTGCGAATCAAAGTACTACTTACTCCAGCAGGCTATGATATCCCCATATTTTACAGAATAAATCACCTTGTGGTTAGCAGAGGCTTGTTGTGAATGTTACTTATACTAATTTTCAAAAGATACGATGCCCTTGTGTTAATCAGAGGCGAATCCAGGCTTTTTAACATTATGGGTCAAGTTCGAAATCCTAACAGAAGGAATTTGATTTATTGGATTTGACATTTATACTTATCTAGTGAAACTTTGTCACATATATAAAATAGGGTCCGAGCCAAAATCATTGGACTTGGATAAACCCATAAGACGTATGCTAGATCCAGGTTGGTAAATTGAATAGATTTTGAAACTCATTTGTTACATCCCGTACTTTAACGTTAGGATTCGTCGAAGTAATAACATATGAGTTGGAAGGGATTAAGGTTATACATGAAGCTATGGATGTAAGACCCTGTAAGTTTGAAGAATTTTGAAACTACTATATATTGGCTTGATATGTATTTTCTTTGAAGTAAATCATTTTTGGTAAAAGTTGATAGATACGATTTTATATGGTTGTGATAAGTTTTAAATTAAATACATGACATGTGGAAGTTTATAAATGAGATTTTATTTATTATAAGAGTAGATAGTATTTTATCATAAGAAAAGTTATCCTTTTTCCGTTTTGAAAATTTATAGGTCAAAAAGAATTTCTTTATTATAAAGATATAAATTATTTTCTCACAAGAAAAGAAGGTTATCTTTTTACCATTTCAAAAAAATTAAGCGTACGAAAACTTGTACTCTTTAGATGAGATTACGAAAATTTGAAGTTGAGAAAATATATGTATTTTTACATGGATATTTTAATAAAAAAATACATAAATAGTGTATGTATTTATTTTATATAGTACCACATGACTATGATGGTAGGTACATAAAGTGTATCAAAAATAAGTAGAATTTTAATTAATTTGAGACAACTTTTAATTACGCGGGTAATTGATTAATTATCGGGTAGCGGGATATTACCTAATTAATTATTGGATAAAGTTTAAATGCCCCAATAAGGGGATTACATGACAGCAAGCCACCTTCAAAAGAAGTGACTATTATGTGGCAAAATTATAGATATGGGACTTGGCATTCTTACAAAAATGGAAAATTGTAACAATCATCTCTCTCTTTGATCTTCTTTGAAATTCGGGAATGTATGTGTGTTAGTTGTTAGTTTGATTTCGTAAAGATTATGTGTGAGATTCTGTTTTATCATAATTGGAAATTGACAGTGCAAATGTTAGAGTCTCATGAGATAGCAGTTTGTTTAGTAGAAAACACACTAGTTGAGGAATGAATTCTAGAAATTTCCTTAGTGCCAACAACTTATAAATTCTGTTAAGATATAATAATAGATATCATTTCATATAAGAGTTGCAATTGATCAAGACCGAGTTTTGTTCTAATCACACTCTTCAGTCCTCTGTTAGTGCATTTTCAGTAGCTCTATTGTTCTGCTCAGTTGATTCTGCATATACTCGAAAGTATTTTTTTGAGCAAAGACATTAGAGATACTACATATACGAATATCATAGAAAGTATTTACATGCTACTTAGAAAGGAAAAATATGATTTTAGGGCACTATATTTGTAAAATGTTAATGCTTACTTCTCGACATGAAACTGTGCATATGATGATTGCCTTCTCTTCTCATTATCTAATTCTAATTTCGTGCAACAGCCTTAAAATTTTGTAGTTTAATGGGACATCGTATGAGATCTATCAGTTTGAGAGTGAGGCAACAGAGGGACAATGTTGGACAGCCCAAGGTAAAGGAGCCAAAGAAAAACACGTATTTGATAAAGTTTATCCGAAAGGTATGTTGATTTTTATGGCATTCCGAGAAAATCTTATTAACGTATTTCTTATGCATTTCATGCATTGCATTCATTTACACTGACCCATGGTCTATACACCACGAATGAAACGAGCAAATGCGCAAATTCCATAAATGAATCTATTCATAGAGGTATTAGAGATGTCTGTGTTCTTGAATTTCCATATGTTTTATTATTCAATCGTCTGTTCATGGGTCTCAGAAAATACGTAAATTAATAAAGTTTATTTGATGATATTAATCAGAGGAATACCGGGGCATAATGGTCTTATGACGTTCCGAGAGATTTTATTGACGTACTTCTCATGCATTGCATTCATGTACATTGGCTCATGACCAGATGGCATTATATACGCGTATATATGTAAATATATGTATATGAGATATGACATAAAATTTTACATTACGAGTATTATATATGAATACATATAGGCCTCGACGGGTCATTCCTGTGTTTACAAAGCCTCTAAGATTATAAAATGGGACAGGATACCGGCTTACCCATAAATCTGTAGCAAAACTTTGACACGTTGACTTATAGACATGGTTGTACTCCAAATGAGGTGGAGTCTTACTGATCCTTCGTTGAATGCTAACCTCGGCTATTATGAGGGTTCATCAAACTGATTGTCTATACCTGGATGCATGAATGCAGCGTCCCCAACAAAAGGACGCCAGTATGAATAATGTACCGAGTATTAAAGCAGAACTGAAACATAGTAATAAGTCGACATTAATTAAAGACATGGAAGAAATATAGAGTAAATGATGAGACCTGTAAGTCTGGATGACTCTGTAAATCATGAAATTCTTATAGTGTTATGCATATACGTATGAATGTCATGTAGTGCATAGGTACATGTGTTCATAAATTCATCATGCCTCTAAGGGTATCCCATCATATCATCTCAGCCACCGTGGGCAAAATCATCAACGTATACCAGCTGATCAGGTGGTGGTGCGTATATAATGCCATAACCTTTTTCCATATCCCATATACATATATTTACATATATACGCGTATATAACGTCATCTGGTCATGGGTCAATGTACATGAATGCAATGCATGAGAAGTACGTCATATGACCCGTCGAGGCCTATATGTATTCATATTTTATAAACGATGGTTCATTGATATAACATTTGCCCACTTATAATTTTACATTACGAGTTGTGGCCAAATTGGCCCATGATAGTTATAAAAAGGAATGAATGATCAGTTACAAAGTGGTTCGCTCGGGCCACTACGGCACCGGGTGTTAGCCATGCCTCCCCGGATTCGGGGCGTGACATCATCAGACACAATGAAAAAAATAAGAGTAATTTCACGTATGATCATTAAACTTTATTCACTATAACAATAACATTACGAAATTATTTTTTGTCACATTAAATTAACTGAACTCGCTATAACATAGAAGCCACTAAATTTATGGATAACAGTGAAATTATAATATTATTTTCGTCACATTAAAATTATTTTGAAAGACGAAAGAGGGAGAAAAAAGAGAAAGAAGTAGTGTCCACTGCTTGCTCAATTTGTTAGAGGGAAAGTTAGAAATTTAGGACATAACACAAATCACAAAAGAAGATGAAACCGTGTTTAGTAAATTCAACATATAATTGGCAATGTTTTCTTGAAATGTTCTGGTCTCTCTGTCATTCAAACTTCCTTTCTTCTTGAATTTTCCTGCATGTTCAACTAGCCATCTTTGGTTTTTATCTATTTATAGTCACTGAACCTTTTCATGGGAATTGGACTATAGTACCAAGAATGCAAAAACATCAACTCACATAATGATGCCATAGGGAAAACGAGGAATGTTTGATATAACAGTGATTTGGTATTTTGATTTATTTTCCATAGTTCCATACATAATAAAAATTGAATTGTCGCCATCGATTATACCTCTGAGCAGAGAGTCTATACCATAGCATTGTAGTAAGTGCCACCTGGTTTCTATTAGCACGAAGGAAAAATGGTCAGAAATTAGTTTCAGGTCATTTTCAGGACAACTAGTTACATAAGAAAGCATAACTAGGGTAGTTGACTAACTTGTCAACAGTTTCTATTTCACCAGCTTCACAAATTACAGTTAGATTTTAAGTAACTTCACAATTTATCACCTTGAACAAACTTCAATTTACCTGCAAACCACTCGTTTATTTTTCCATTATTATTTAATTACTACTCCTCGTACAAGAAAATCAATCAAAATGGAAACCAGCTCAAAAATTAGTCAGATATGGATGCTATGTGCATGTGGTAGTTTCATTAGCTGCTTCATTTTCTTGATATGCCTTAAGCACAATGAGGCAGGTTATTTCAAGGCAAGAAGTGGAGAAGATGAAGGGAATATAATCCAGAAAAACAGCAAGAATAAGTGCAATATATTTGAGGGAAGATGGGTTTATAAACCAAAGGAGAGCCCATATTATGAAGCACAACAATGTCCATTCCTTAGCGAACAAGTGAGCTGCCAAAAGAATGGAAGGCCTGATTTTGACTATCAAAATTGGTCTTGGGAAGCTCATCACTGTGTCATCCCAAGGTAGAAAATTCGTTCGTTCATTTTCTTGTTTGTTGTTTCTTTAACTTATATACACTGACAATGTGGCCTGAGCCGAGAGATCTCTTGGAAACAGCCTCTTTACCTGCATAACGTAGAGTAAGGTATGCATACACACTACCCTCCCCAGACCCCACATGTTTGACTATACTGGGTATGTTATTGTTTTGTTACCTATATTGCTCGGACTCTCCAAAACAGGTGCCGCACCTGTGTCGGAACCTCCAAAAATGCACTACTTTTGGAGGATTGGCACGCACCCACCGACATTTTCAAAGAGTCCAAGCAACATAGGTTGTTGTTACACTGACAATGTGAAGAATTTTTGCACTATCACTACGTAGAAGTTAAACTCTTTTTTTCTTTTGCAAAATTTGGTGGTTCTTTTGCAGTTTGAATGGCATATATATGTTGGAGAGGCTTAGAGGAAAGAGGGTAATAATAGTTGGAGATTCACTAAACAGAAACCAGTGGGAATCTCTCGCTTGTCTTCTTTATTCTACAATTCCTCCTTCAAGGGCTCATGTTGATGTTAGGAGTGGCTCCTACAAAGTCTTTAAAGCTAAGGTAAATCAACTTAGAGACTTCTTTCCTTCACTACAAGTGCCTTCTTAGTGTAATTTTGGACATGTCTAATGGTATAATACCTGTGAATTTAGGTCATGCTTTCTTATGTTCATACCAGAAAACAATAATTTTCTGCTTTTCTAGGACTACAATGTTACTGTAGAGTTCTACTGGAGCCCATTTTTGGTCCAGTTCAAATCAAACAAACCTGGTGCCCCTAAGGTTTTGAGGCTGGAGAAACTCGATCCATCGTCTAGGCTTTGGCAAGGAGCTGATATTATGGTATTCAACACAGGTCACTGGTGGGTGCATATTGGAAAGTTGAAGGCGTAAGTCACTAAAGACCTCTCTTTTAAAAGTTTATGAGTTTTAACTTCCAGTGACACAATAAGTCACTTAAAAGATAATTATAGATACCATTACCTGAAAATAAAGACAAGCCATGTTAAAACACTCTTAACAGTATCAGTGTATATGACTTGAATCCAAAGTCTATATATACAGTTAAACCGCAAGTCCATGATGCAATTGGATGCTTATTGCATGCAGGTGGGACTTTTTCGAGTACGAGGGAAGATTAGTTAATGAGCTGAAGTTAGAATCAGCATTTGAGGTAGCAATGAGGACCTGGGCAGACTGGATAGATCAGAATGTTAACTTGAACAAAACAACAGTTTTCTTCAGAAGCATTTCTCCAGAACACAAAGCTCAAAATGGATGTTACAATAAAACACAACTCATCACTGACAAGTCCCATGCAACACATTTTTCTGAGTCACTGACGGAGATTGTTGAAAGAACATTGTCACAAATGAGAATCCCTGTAAGATACTTAAACATTACCGAGCTCTCAGAGCACCGCGTAGATGCACATCCATCAGTCTACGCCAAAAAGAAAGGAAAAGAATTGGTGAAGAGGAAATTAAAGCCACCGGAGAGTTTTGCTGATTGCAGCCATTGGTGCCTACCTGGACTGCCTGATACATGGAACAGGCTACTATATGCATCTCTGGTTTTGGATCACCCCACTGATTCCCATAGTTTATCGCATTTGGTTTCTTGAAAATCAGATATTGACTACCAGTAAGCTACATATTAGTTGCTATATCAGTACTGTAGGGAGCATATATAGCAGTAATTGTAACGTTTATGTTGAACTGTGCTGCAGAGAAAACATTTTATTATTGTGCACATTTACCTAGTTCTAAAATGTACAGGAAAACCTTGACTAACAATTTAGTTGGCCAAGTCCACATGAATCCAGAAGAGAAACTACATACTTCCAGAAATGACCAACAACCCAATATAATCCCACAAGCGGGGTCTAGGGAGGGTGGTGTGTATGCAGGCCTTACCCCTACCCTAAGGTTGTTTTCGATAGACCCTCGGCAACTCTTTGGCAATGTGATATTTGGAATGATCGAGCAAGTCCACATGACTACTGCTCGGTTGGGTTGAGACCTTAAGAAATAGGACTACATAATAGAAAATCTACTACATAGGCATACAAATCACCAACATACCCTTCCAACTCTGTGCGTTATGGCAAAGAACAAGAAGTTATCAAAAGGAGAAATTAGTCCATTTACTACAAAGAGTGCCTCCATTTGTTGACATCCAATCCAATCTAGTAGTAAGCAATCCAACAAAAGCAACCAAAATATTCCTTGGTGAATCGGCTAAAGACTTGAAGTACGTACATATTTTTAAGAAAGGGTAAAGCCAACAGACATGGAAATTCAAGGACAGATTCAGCACTTAAAAAGTATTCATATATCTTAGTAATTTATAAGAATGCCAAGATTGGATACAAGATGGCCATACCTCAGATATAGGTTGGTTTCTCCAAGGCTATGTATTATTTACTGGTTACACTACTAGAGGAACGGATTATAGATACCGTATGCAATTTTATAAAGCAATTAATGGGATTATAACATAAACAGTTGGTGCATCATCTCTCAATGTTTGTTTCTCAAGCACGCCATGCAGTAATTGGAAAAGCAACAATACTATTTACAGCATCATCATAACTACAGAATCTCCCACTCAGATTCAGGATGATCATTAGCAGATAACTTCTTAGTGTTTGAATTCATGGCAAGAACAGGCATCACCTTGTCTTCAGCTTCTTGGTTAAACAGTTGATCTCCATATAGTGCTCCAAGTTGTTCATACTCTTTCCTTGTCAAGCTCTTTCTTGTGGAGAATGCCTCCCGAAGCTTCTTCTGAGAAATTATGATAAAAACAGTCAACAAAGATCTAAAAGACACATTCAAACAATATTGACACCCCCCGGCCCCTCCTAAAACAAAAAATGAATTAAAGGAGTAAATACAAGAAAGAATATACTCCCTCTGTCCCAATTTGTCATACTTTCCTTTTTAGTTTATCCCAAAAATAGTGTCATACTTCCTTAATTTACAAATAATTCAACTTGAAACTTTCCATTTTACCCCTAATAAGATGATTTAAAGCCACACAAATGTTTACAGCTTGTTTTAGACCACAAGTTCCAAAAGTCTTTCTTTCTTAAACTCCATGCCTAGTGAAACACCACCCCATAA